GAAACAAGCCGAGCAGCAGGAGGAGCCGAAGGAGGACAAAGGTGACGCTGCTGCGGCCCGATGGGGAGGCCTGGGCAAAGAGCTGGGAGGACTTGGTCGTTAAAAGTCATTCGGTTTTACATATTGATAGGAAAGGTGATGCTCAGCGTCACGGATCCGTGATAGATTAATAAGCAGGTATGAACACGGTGCAGCAAGCAGTGCACGAGAGACCTCTCAAGAGAAAACTCGTGATTAAAATTAAGAAACCGGGGTAGCTTTTCCCCCCCCACCACAGCTGCAGATGGAGTGGTGGTAAATAACACGCCGTAGGTGCAGCTGTTGCCCCAGGGCTCTCTTCTGATGGCAGTCTCTTCCCCAGGGCGTCACTACACGCTGAGCGTGGCCCTGCCGGGCTCGATCTTGAACAACGCCCAGTCGCTGGAGCTGCGGACGTACCTCGCTGGACAGATTGCTCGGGCCTGTGCCATCTTCTGTGTGGATGAGATCGTAGTGTTTGACGAGCATGGAGAAGATGTAAAGTAAGGAGGGGCCATCTTGTTCTGCAGAAAGCGTTTCCCTTCTGCTTTGCGCTGCTTCAATGTTTTATTAAGCTAAGACCAGGAAAGAACTGCGGGTACCTCAAGCAAATGCCTGAACATCTCTCAAATGCCAGGATTACAGGGACCCCTATACCCCTGGGCACAGATGTTGACTGAACTGCCCTGGCAGCCAGAATCGTTTATCCTGGCCTGGGGATGACAAAGCAGCAGGAGGTCAGGCTTTCCTGTACTCTTAAATCTTGCTGTGGAGGGACAGGGCATGCCTCTATCCTTATGGAAGACAAATTCCTGTCCTCCAGCTTTTCATTTGGACCTGCAACTGCGTTAACTGGCCAAGCCTTGCAATCCTGTAGCATCCAGCTCAAGTAGCATCCAACTGCCAGGTTGTGTCAATACACAAAGATCAAAAGCAAACCTGAAAAAGATACTTGGCTTACAGAGAGAGTTCCAAATATGATTTGTTAACAGTCTCTGCCTCTGGAGCAGCCCTCTTACAAGGGGTGGAGGGGAGGGGTGTCCAGCTATTTTCAGATTAAGTAGCAAGGCTTGGTCTTCTGGAGACCTGACCAGCCTCATGCTGAGTTCAGAAGATGCTTGCTTTCTCTTTCAGGAGTGTGGAGGGGGACTTTGAAGGAATTGGGAGGAAAGGCAAGGCTTGCGTGCAGCTGGCTCGGATCCTGCAGTACTTGGAGTGCCCTCAGTAAGTCCACCGTGGTCGGACCATGCATCAGATTTGCCTCAGAACTGACTACCCTGGGTATCTCACGCCAGAGGCTATGGAAGCAGGAGGCAAATTCTGTTTATATCGCCTAGTTATGCAGGAACACAGGATCTAATTGTTTCACATGTCTTGTTCAAGAGTTTAAAAGACAAGCAGTGAATGCAGGATACAACCTGCATGATATCTTAGCAGTAGATCAGGGACTTGAGAGTCCTAAGCATGCTCTTGCTTGTGCTCAACTTCTTTGACTCAGAACAGGGCTAGAATTGAGGCTCGGATTCCACAGAAACAACTGTTTTCACGTATCAACCTTCTCTGACAACAGGTACTTGAGGAAATCCTTTTTTCCAAAACATGAGGATCTGCAGTTTGCAGGTAACGACTGAGCTGTCTCTGTCCCAGGCTTTTGGCTCCCCCTTCCCAAGTTCTGGCTCTTGTTGCGTGGGATGCACAGAGCTGAGTAACTTTTCCCTGCTGCAGAGTGCAGCGAGGTGCTGTGCTGCGGTACGCTGGACCAGGGAGGGAGGGGGCAGCAGAGCGGTTGTACTTATACCTGCGTTCCCACTGTTTGTGTCCCCTCCTTAGCAGTTGCTTTCCTCTGTGCTGTTCTAGGGCTGCTCAATCCCCTGGACAGCCCTCACCACATGCGGGTGGATGAGGACTCAGAGTACCGAGAAGGCGTGGTGTTGGACCGGCCAACTAAGCCAGGCAGAGGCTCTTTTGTTAACTGTGGGATGAGGAAGGTACATCTGTTACATACAGATCCCAAAACAATTTCCCCTGGCTTTCTGGCAGGTGTGAAGCAGGCAGGGTGGGCACTGCTGGGTTTCTGAAGGCCATAGTGGGCTGGTGTGGGGTTTAATGCTGCTGCTCTCTTGTCCCTTCTGGCTTGTCAATGTTTGTAGCTTCCTGAGTCCTGAGGGGCCTGCCCCTTGCAGCATACCATTGCTTCACTGCTGGAGTTAAATCTTTGAGCAGCAAAGTAAGTCTCAGACTGCTGACCCAAGCCACCCTGAGCCTGCTCTGCACTGCATGCGCCACACAGGCCCTGATCGCAGAGCTCCTCATTCCAGCTCCAGGCCAGAACAGACCCCGAGTTCCTCAGAGGGTTCCCTTCCTTCCCCAGTACTTCCAGAATGTCTGATGCTGGTGGTGTCTGTCACTGCAGGAGGTGCAGATCGACAGACAGCTGAACCCCGGTCTGCGAGTCACCGTGCGCCTGGAGGAACCCCAGAAGCCAGGTAAGCCACTGCTCCGTTAGCATCTGTAAACTGCAGTCCTGCAGGAGTTGGTCCTTCCACACGACAGCCTTCCGGTCACTCATGTTTGAAGGTACCCAGTAGCTCTGCACGTTCCCTTCACTCCACACACAACTTCAATAACACTCTTACCATACCTCCCCCTAGTTAACTGGAAAGAACTGGCAGCTCTTTGACCAACACTGAACAGCCCGAACGTACTTGCACGCTTTCCAGAACACGCTCAAGAGGGCAGTTCTGGGTTGTACACCAGTCAGTGCCCTGCCCTAGGAGAAACTGCCGTCTGTGGCTGGCCAAACGCAGCTCTCAGTAGGACATCACAGGAGTGGTTAACCTGTTTCCTTCCCTTCCAGAAGCTAAAGTGCGGAAAGGCACGGTGGTGTCCTCACACCACCCGCGGACAGTCTCGGGCTTGTACTGGGGTTACAGCGTCCGCCTTGCCTCCTGCCTGAGTGAGTATCTGCAGGGGTTCTCTGCTCTCCGCCGTGTCTCTGCCTGGGCTTCCACACCAATTTCGGGCCTGCTGGCTGCACGTCTGCAGCACACATGAACATCTCTTTCTTAGAAATCTCTTTTGTCTCAAAGGCAGCTTACATGTGTGGCTAGCAGCCATGTGACAACCAAATTTAAGGGCTAAAGCTAGGGCTGTGAATCGCAGTCATCTGCCCTGTACCTCCACTAACCCTTGTGCCAAGCGTCCTCATTGCAGCAGGAGACGAGTTGGTGCTCTCCGTCTCCAGCCAGTACATCTCCAGTTCCATAACTACCTCCCGCTCATTCACGTCAAAGCCAGCAGTGACATTGAGGTCAGAGCCCTGCAAAATCCTCCTCTTGTTTTCTGATTGATTGGACCTCACAGAATAATCGTAAGCCGTTAGTGAAGGAATGGCTCGTGGCACCTGTTTGAGCTTTGAGGAAAAGGTGCCACAGTTGAGAAGGGTGCCAGAGACTGCTGCAGCAAGGCAGTTATGTAGGAAAGAGGAATCATTCTTCTGATGCATTAGTGGCACTGAAAAGCAGTTCCTTCTGCTGCCATCCCTCACCTGTGGAACATTTCAACCTATCCAGAAGGCACACAGCGTGGGCAAGGGCACCACGGAAATAACCCCATATTGTGTGTGTTTCCCAGGTGCTGTCTTTTCAGAGTGCCCGTTCAAGGAAGGCTATGATCTCTCCATTGGGACGTCAGAGCAGGGCAGCTCCGTGGACCAGGCCACTCTCCCTTCCTTCAGGTTTGTGTCCTGCCTGTGTGGCCCCACTCGGAGCACCCAGCGAGGCCTGGTGCAGGCAGCAGAGCTGCACTGTGGCCTTGCTGTTCTCCCAGGCAGGA